CCCCCCCTCCAACAAACCGTCCGGGATCCGCTTATATCTCGGTGGCAAAGTTAAAGTTATCAGAGGGTAACTGCCATGCCGTATTTGCGCAAGTTTAGGACATGCCAGCGGTTTTTTGCGCCCAAAAGTATCGAATTTCGCATTTTTTCTGGCTGCATTTCACGTCCCCTTGAGCGGAGCCTCATCGCTTAGCAAGCCCTGCTGCTTTGATTCCCGTCCTTCATTCCCCTGTTACGTTTCTGGTAGACGGAGATGCTGGATTTACTTTTCACATTCTATTTGTCAGTGTTTTGGTCATTGATCGAATCATCAGCTTTCCCGGAACTTCCTCACAGACAGCCCCTGTCGGTGTGTTTAGAATATTGCTGATCAAAGATCACTTATTTTGAGTTATCTTTTGCAAAAATCGATTATCTTATCTTGCATTTTTTTTTTTTTTTTGTTCGTTTTTACCAATTTTTCCATTGAATTAATTTTGATGTTTCTTTTCCAGATCAACAGCTTCAACCTCCACAGCCCCCGATCGGCGACTTACCAATTGAACCATGTATGTTTTTCTATTCGATTTTTAAAATAATTAAATAGCAATCGTCTTTGAGCAAGCTTATGTGAGTAGATTTACCAGTTTCTCAAAATTCTGCGGCGATGATATAGTGGCTGACCGGCACGAGATTGCTCGTGGTTTAGGAACAATGACAGAATAGCGAACTTGACCTGCTGGCAAAAGATGCCGAATTTCAGAGTCGGCAGTTCGAATTTCGCCAGGGATTTAGATTTTTGGGCGGAGGAGAGGAGAGAGGGGGGGGGGGGATTTTTGACGAATAACTTATATTTTCCTTAAAAAAAATAGTAATTTGTGAAATAAATTCGGAATATCCAATAGTATTTTTCTCCGACTTTGTAGTGAGTAACTTTTCCATTTGCTCTGACCTGTGCTGCATCGCCTAGGGGTGGTCATTCTGCAGGTGGTATTCGTTTTGTGCCCTGCAGTGCAGCCCAGCTGTATTCCCAACAAAAGCGCTTAGCAAGGCTTTAGATATTTCGGGATGCCTTTGATGTGTATGTATGTATGTGCGTATGTGTACATATGTTTGTGTATGTGGGTGTGTGTATGTATGTATGTTTGATGTCTTTGGTGTGTATGTGTGTATGTCTGTATATGTTTGTGTATGTGGGTGTATATGTGTATGTGTGATGTCTTTTGGTATGTGCTTGTGTCTATATATGTTTGTGTATCTGGGTGTATGTATGTGTGTGTACATATGAGTGTGTGTATATGGGTGTGTATGTATATATGTGTGTGTGGATGTGTGTGTGCACCACTTCATTTCGAAGATTGCTGGGTTTTGAATCATGACAAGTTATCTTACCAGTTTAGAGCACTAATAGCAATTCGATAACTTCAAAATACTCATTAGACGATTTTTTTTAAAAATATATTAACCATTTTTTGTGAAAAAAAATTGATATTCTCTTCACCGCTGCAACTTCTTTTTTTTGTCAGTAATTAGGTGCAGCGCTGCAGTTTTTTGACCTCAACCTGTCTGCGCTGCCAGAGATGGTGGAGGGTGCATTGATGGGGATGACTGGGGTCAAATCCACACATCCGACTCTCCTCCTTACAGTGCTTGCCTTGGGAATATAACGGCGACTCTTGTATGCTCAGAAAGTGCTCTTTCCTCTGTCTGGGATTGGTTCCCCCACCCCGCTCCCCATCTGCCTTCTCTCTGCCTTGCCCCTTG